GAGCTCGTATTTACAGATGAGGCTGTGAATCAAGTATTTGATGCTGAATGTTGTGTTGTAATAGCTTTGTTGTCTAGATTTTTTTCAGCCTGAACTGTTCTGGATGGGAGTAAATCTTCTGAAAGCTGAGGGAGTAACCACATCCTCAATTCAGACAATTATAAGAAACAGTTAAGCCTCATCGACTAAATAGTTGAACTAATACCAACCCCATTCCAAAACCAGGTCCATGCACCCAGCCAAAGCAAAGGCACGTTTGGTCAGAGGGATTTCTTTGCCTGTTGTTTTGTAGAGGGTTGTATATCTGTGAAGAAGAGCAGAGGAGAAAGAGGAAACATCAGGAAGTAAAAGAGGAAATCCTAAAGCTCACAAAAAGTTTTGAAAGAGAGAGTTTGGGGCTCGGTAGTGCTATTGAAAGTATGAGCAAAACATCCCCTCTAGTGTTATTTCATGCTTGTGGTGACTGAGAAAAACAGATTTCATACATTCTTTGTAATTAAATAAGATTACCTTGAGAAATGTTACCAGTCTCTCTTCCAACTGCTGAGGGAAGAAGTGTGAAGCAGTTTCCAAATACAAATGGGTGCACTGCTGGTCTTGCTGAAGCAAAAAGGTAGCAGGAGCAGAGCTAGTAGAAATTAATATCAGAGCTCTAGCAAGCACTGAAACAGAGTCAGAAATACCACAAAATTATTAAAATATAATCTGAGGATGGCAAACTAATGTTGCTTAAAGAGAAGGAAAATTCATGTTTAGAAAGTGGAGAAAAATATGTGAGTAAATTTAGAAACAATTCCTACTTTGTAACTTTGTTATTCAACATGGGGGAGCTAGTCATGTTTGATGCACAGCTCTTGCTTTTTATCAGCAGACAACCACAGAAGTACTAACACAATCACTAGAGACCAGAATATTTTGAATATTGTTGAACAGAGATATGATGGGATAAAGCAAGGATTAAAGGAGCTAAAAAAATCTGCTTCAGATATAAATCAAGAAGTCAGGGATGAGGCTGCTTGTCTTCTGTCTTGAAGCAAGTTGATGCAAACTTTGCCAAAACCCCTCAATTCTCTGCCTCATGTCCATGAAAGACAATGAAATTCAAGTCCACTTAAAGTAATGTATCAGTAATTGGGAAAGCAACACAAAATTTGCATAATTTTTACAATTACTACAGAAAAATATGTATTTTTTTAAACATACAAAACTGGAGGGAAATTATTCTCTACAGTGCTAGAAATGGCACCAACAGAAATACCTTTCCCATGGGGAGAAGGTGAAGGAGATGAAGAAAAGGTGCATTTTGGAACTCAGAGAAGAGTTGGTGCAGGGCGCTGAGCTGAAAAGGTAACTTTTAAAAGTACTTACACCTGCTGCTCAATTTTTGTTCATATCTGGCAATTGAGTGACTCGACTGAATGTGCAATAAGTGATTTTAAGGGAGAGAAGAGAGAGACAAACCAGATGGTTAAAGTGGACTGGAGAATAACTGATCCAAAACTGCACAACATGCTTTGTTTCAGATGGAGTTTGTGAATGGAGAGAAATCCATGGGGTGCTAGGATAGGGCACTGGACTCCAAAATGCACAG